CTTAAGTATGCACTTGGAGGTCAGAGGACAATTTACGGGATATAGCGCTCTCTTTTTACCATGTGGCTTCTGGGGCTCTAAATTAAGTCATCAGACTTGGCGGCAAGCACCTTTGCCCTTTACCTGCTAAGCCATCTTGCTGGTCCTTTTGTTTTTTTAAACAACCACTGGAGCCCCTCACATAGCCTGTAGAGGAGGGACCACCAGGTTTTCCATCCACCCCTATGACTTTGAGAGGAAGGGTGGTGCTAACTTGTCTGTCCAGCTCTTTCTGGCCAGCTATCTTCTCCCCCCCCCCCCCCCCCTCGCCATGCAGCACTGTGACTTCCACCACCCCACCCACCCCAGCCACACTGGCTTTCCTTAGTCCCAGTCCAATTTCTCACCTCTTTTTCACAGGTCTCTCCCCTAGCTGTTCCTCCAGCTGACACCAGCCTTCAGGAAAAGGAAAGGAAGCTCCCATGTAGTCACCCTGGTCAAATGCTGGTGTACCTGCCTCTAGAGACACTGGTGCTGTCCCTTCAAGCACATGCCGCAGCAGTAGCTTGTCTTCTTTTAGGCATATAATGTGTCCTCCCACTTCTCTGCACACCACAGGCTCTGAGAAGGCAGATGCTAGATCTGGGTACAGCCTTTATCTCCCCATTGTACTGCCTGTGCTCAGTGCGGCATCCAGTACAGTCTAGTACTTAGAGGGAAGTCAATATGATAAAATAACAAAGGGAGGGGATGAAGGAAGCCACAAAACAAAAGAAAGAGGCTGTGACCACAGATCCATCAAGGTTCAAACCTGCAACTTAAACAGTAGAGCTGGGCTGTGGCCCTTTGAAATCTAGAAGAATAACTGCAGGAAACGTTTTCAGTGTGAGCACCCCAGGGACCTAACCCTGTGTCCCCACAGCACTCACAAATACTTCCTGCGAAGGTGTGGAGCCACTGAAAGCAGGTGGACAAATGGATGGATGGTTGAATGGATGTACCGGGATTAGATAGATGGACATATGGGCTAATGAGTGATTGGATGGATGGATAATAACTAAATAAATGGACAGATGAATAGATAGAAGAATTGGAAATAAAAAATATGTGTTTCTATAATAATGTATTTTTAAAATATTAGTTCATTCCTTTTTCTTGGCTTTTAAAAATAGAAATCATTAAAACAGATCCTCAAACTTGGAATTCTACCTTCAAAAACTTAGGGATGTAAGTTTTTTTGAAAAAAAAAAAACAGTCAAGTATGGTGGTGCACATCTTTAATTACAACACTCAGGAGACAGAGGCTGGCAGATCTCTGTAAGTGTAAAGCTAGTGTGGTCTATATAGTAAGTTCCAAGCCAACTGGGGCTACAGGGAGACCCTGTCTCAAAAAGAACAAAAATAAAAAACAAAACCAACAACAAAACAAGATCTGGCTATGTAGCCCAAACTTGCCTAGAACATGGACTCGTCCTGCTTCATCCTCCAGAGTTTGCAGACATGTACCACACCTGGCCACATGTTTTTGTTTGTTTGTTTGTTTGTTTGTTTTGGTCTTTTTGAAGCAGGGTCTCCCTGTAGCCCCAGCTGTCCTGGAACTTACTATGTAGACCAGGCTGGCCCTGAACTCACAGAGATCCACCTGCCTCTGAAATAATTTCATTTAACTCATTAATTCAAAGAAAACTTCCTGCTTGCCCCATTTCAAGCCTTTAATGTTGACAATATTTTAATGTGAGAGATAAGGATTATCTCTCACTTTCTCTCTCTCTCTCTCTCTCTCTCTCTCTCTCTCTCTCTCTAAATACCTCTCCCTGCTCTTGTGACTCCAGGGATACCACTAGAAGCCTAAGCTCTCTCCCTACTCTTCATGGCTTCAGGAGCTCAATTCTCCTCAACTTTCTCTTCAAGTTTCACAGAGGCTTGATCTAACCCACAAGGAGGTCACCATGGAAGCACTGGGTCCAGGCTGCCAGGATGAGGACTCCAGCCCAGGATGTCCACTGCTACAGCACATAGGGAGGTGGAGCCCAAGCACAGGTGCCACATAAGTACACTGGTTCCTACTCCAGGATGGTGGGTCTCAGCATCTGCTTCTCATAGGTGATTACCAGAAAACAAAAGGTGATTCCTACAGGAGAAGGTGGGGACCAGTGGCCTGAAAGTGGCGACTGCCCAACTGTTACATTTAAAACCCCCCTTAGTCTATGCCCATTTTTTTCCCATAGATATTTCTTCTTCACTAACTGTCCTTACACCTGCCCTTCTCACAAAGCTCAGAGCATATGCAGGCTGCAACATCAAGTTTCTAGCCAGGACTAGAATGTAAAGGTAAGACACTAGTTCCTTGGACAATTTTATCTAAGGTCACTTTCCAGAAAAGTTTGGGGTCATAAGCCAAGGTCTCTTGTCAAATTTTGTGTTTCATATCATGACTCCTAGGTCCCAAGGAGACAGGAGTATAAGAGATAACATTTTATTTATGTTTGTATTTTCAAAGAGCCAAATGAGGGTGCGTTTACAGTACCTGCTCAGTAATTTATGTGTATAAGGTACAAAGTCACAAGCCTGATATAAAAATGTGCATTCCACTGTATTCACAGATTCCTGTTTGGGAAGAATAAAGTAAAAACAGTAGCACAATGAAAGGGATATTGAATATCTGACACTAACTCCATTTTTCACTCAGTCCCAGACAAATGAGACATTTTAGAGTGTGGTTTACTTGAAACTAGGATTCTCTTCAGTGCAACTCATACTCAGTTTTAAGCAAGTTAGAATTTGCAGATGAGGGAGCAGAGGGATGCTCTGTGAATAAAGTGCTTGTTGTGCACTCATGAGGACCTGAGTTTGAATCCCCAAAACACATGTAAATGAATGCCTGATAGACATCTGCCCATAACCCCTACCAGAGTCAGGAGATTCCCAGATCAAGCTGGTTATAGAGACTAAGAATCAGCAAGCTCCAGATTCGTCAAGAGACCCTGCCTCAGAAAACAAGGTGTAGAGCAATCAAGGAAGACACCCAGTCAACTTCCAGCCTACACAGGCATGTGGGCACACACACATGCACACATACCCCCACACACATATTTGCCCCTATTCACATTCAAACATACTTGCAAACATGCACAGCATACACACACATAAAAATAAATGACTTGAAAAGAACTTGCAAGTGATCAGACAACTTCCAAGTGAAGGATTTGGAAAAAAAAAAAAAAAAAACCTGGGGCAAAGACAGAGCTATCCTTGAGTCTAAAAGTCATGTCCACCCCGTGAAATCCCCTTTCACACATCTGACAGAATCACTCTTCCTTTCCTCTTCACAGATGTGTGGGGTGGCTGCATTACATTGCACGTGCTCAGCCAGGCTCACCATTGAGCGAAGACTCCACACAAGGCAGATGGATTTTCAGCTGTCTGAGTTGAACTCTGGCTCCAAAGTCCATGAACAGAACATGTTCTATGCTGGCCTGATAGCATTATTGACAAGCTGGGCTCTGGCCACCTAAAAAGGAGACGGCTCCCACATTCAGTGCCTTCTTTAAGAACACGTTTAAAGTACGAGGATAATCTGTCCTTTCAACACAGCACCACATAATGAAGAAATGGCTAAGAGAGTTCTGTTCACAGTAGAAGGAACACCATGCTTGGAGTGCAGTCCAAAGCCACTCTGCACCTTTCTTAATAAAACCTTGTTACTGCAGCATAAAAACAGAGACAGCCATTCCTCTCATAAAACCAAGTGACACTGATACTGAGCACGTCTCACAGACATGGGAGAGTCAGAGCTACCGCTGTAGAGACGGGTTTTTAACCTCATGCCTGCCTTCTTTCTCCAACCTCCTCTTAGGTGTCCTGTGTGTTCAACATCCCAAAAGCTCGGTCCTGCCAGTGCCTCTCACTCACCATTACCAGACCTGAGCTCTTTTCAACAGCACTTGAAAAGACGGTGGACTAGGTAAACACAAAATCTCCCTAAATCATTCCAGCACAAAAGCCCAGCAAGTGATCTGCTAAAATCTATTACCAGATCCAAAGCAATTAGATCTCCCAGAGACTAGAGAAGTCAGAAGTGAAAAACGTGTGATTAAAAGACCCTGTGTGACAACTGCCTGGGAAGTTTCAAAGGGAGATCTCCATCTTCCCTGGAAAATATTCACAGAAAAATGTGTTTACAGGGATTTTCAGCACACACAGGAGACTGCAAAGAATCTTAGCTTCTTTGTAGAAAAGGGGCATGGGGGGAGGACTGCTATCCATAAATAGAAACTGCCTGATCATTCAGAGAACTGTTGATTCTACAGTGTCCTGCAGGGATCAGTTGCTCTTCCAGGCATCTCTGTCCCAAGCTTTCAAACTTGCTTGTCCCAGGCAGGGAGGAGGGTGGTAACAGAGAGAGCAGTGTGTTGGGGGAGGAGGGATTCCTGCCTCTGCTCACACTTAGAGTCAAGACCCCACTGTGATAGTTTAGGTCACAGGCACAGTTCAACTCAGAACAGCCTGTGAGGATGTCCCCAACACAGTAGCTGTAGGAGGGGGACCCTGGAGACCCTGGGCTGAAAGGACCAGGGCCAATTCAGATTCATAGAAGTCCCCCGTGGTGCACCGCTTGACATTCCATACAGCAACGCTATTCCAATTTATGTCCAAACAGGTTAGGGCGGATGGGGAAGTCCACTCCAAATTCCAGGAATCTTTTAATCCTCCTCTCCGACATCTGGCTCAGCTTGCCAGTGTTCACAACCCCTTCTTACTTAAAAAGCGTTCTAGGTAGCCTTGGCTTCGCATCCTATCAAGTCTTCCAGGCAATCACCTGAGGCCTGGCCAGGACCTTGACTCCACGCCTCCTGCACACACACACACACACACACACACACACACACACACACACCACCTGCACGCGCACACACACACACACGCCCACGCCTTTCTCCAGGCCGCCCACATCCACGCACACACTCTCTCACCACTCCCAGCAAAGTTAGTCCCGGTCCAGGTGGCGGCAGAGTGCTCACCTTTGGAGAAAAGGGCGGCCAGGCTGATGAGCACTGGAGACCAGAGGTGCCACAGCGTCCCCATCTCAGAGGAGCACATCCTGGAGTCGTGGAGCGCAAGTCCTCGGCTCCTTCGTGGTACTGTCTGGATGAAAGAGGGATGTCGCCAGGTTCCCTGGAGGGTCTGGGCTGGACTAAATGGCGAAGGCGCGTCTGGCTAGAGACCAGAACAGCCCCGGCGCGTCGAGCCCGGCCAGTCCATGGCCAGGCCGCGCGGGCTCGGGGGACCAGCAGCGCAGGCCAAGCCCACCTCCGTCCTTCGCCCCCGCCGCGACTGGCTTTTTAATTTAATTTTAATCCACGAGGCGAGCCTCAGTCGCTGTGTCTCCAAGCGAAGAGAACGGTCCTGGGCTTTGGCGGCTGGTGGCGCGAGTGGCTAGCGGACACGGGCGGTGGGGCTGCAGGGCTGCGGAGCCCAGGAAGCAGGCAGAGGCGGCACCCGGGTCCCCGGGAGGGTGGCCGGGCGCGCGGGATGACCCGGGGAGCGTTGGCTCGCCGTCCCCATCCCGTGCCGCGGGCCTCACGCGCGCGCTCCGGCGCCCAAAGTTTGCAGGGCGCTGCGGCTCCGCCCCGGCCCGTCGGGCCCGGTCAGGCTCTCCCAGCTTATCCGCGCCCAGCACACAGCCGGCTCGGGAGATGCACCGCGGCCGGAGGCGCCCGAAGGAGGCTGGTGAGCAGAGCGCCGACCTGCAAGCGCTGGCTCCGGGCCGCAGCCGGGCCCCACCACCGCCAGCTCCACCGCCGCCACATCCGGAGCGCACGCGAGCGAGCGCAGCGCTGCCCGGTGCGGGTTGGGGCTGTTGCTTTACAATTTTTGTCTCTTTTTTAAGCCCCACCCTTTCAGAGTGACAGCTGTGAGCCCCAATCCGCAAAGTAGGTCCCACCTCCCTGGTCTGCCGGGCACCCAGCCTCCCCCGGCACCCTTGCAGCCTGCGCAAAGGGGAGGGGGCTGGTGCGGATGAAAGGACACCCACCAGCTCTGAAGAGTCTAAGTGGGGTGCTGCCCGCACTCACAACAGGTGTCAAAGGGCCATATGCTCAGCTTTCTCAGAGCTTGGGGCAGCAGGGGGCCCTCAGGCAATAGTACAGCTCAGGACCCTAACCAACAGGCAGGCTTTTCGCAGGGATTCTGACCCTGGATTCCCAGAAGGACCACCAAGTTAGTATCCCTAGAATTCCATCCTGGCTTGATGCTGGCGTTTGGGTACAAGGGACTGATCAGTTAGGGGAAGACTTTCGATGATAAACTAACATGCCTGGCTTTCCACTTGTGTCTTCTGGAGTCTCTAAGATCCACTCATACCAAGATCCTTAGTCTCCATGCTAGAATTCTGAACCCAAGCCCTCTGTGTTCCATGGAGCTTTGGAGCCCATGGATTACATGGGGATTCAGAGAGGAGTAAATCCCCAGTCCCACAGAAGAATTCACTTTTGCAGGTAAAAGTGGATTGTGTTACTTGTTGGTGTGACAAAATACTTTACAAAATCAGCTTAAGGGAAAAAAGGTTTATTGTGGCTCACAGTTTGATGATACAGTCCACTCTGGTGGGGAAATCATTGCTGCAGGGCCACGAGGCAGCTGGTCACAGCATGTCTACCACCAGGAAGCAGACAGAGATGAATGCTGGCACTCAGCTCACCTCCATTTTATTCACTCCAGGACCCCAGCCCATCCATGATGCTGCCCACCTTCAGGCAGAGTCTCCTCCTCAGTTAAATCTTTCTGGAAATCCCCTTGTGGAAACACCCAAAGGTGTGTTTCCATGGTGATTCTAAACCCAGTCAAGCTGATGTGATCAACCAACACAAGAACCACAGAATCTGGCTAAAGGTGCAATCCTTGTCTAGTAAGGAGACAATCTATGCCTGATTCTTTATGTCCATAACTGCAAAATTATACCCACCTTTAAGAGCTTTCATCCTTCAAAATCTCGAGGACGATCAGAAGACAGTCTTTCTGGGCGTTCTTGTCTTGGAGGTTTCAGCTTTATCCTACGAGTGTCTTCCTTAATGTCTGTGTTTTTGTGATGTTCTTTTATTTAGTTTAAACTTTCTGTAAATTTCCTTTGTATCTTTCCTACAAGCTCTATCTAGAGTTGATGCTGAAAAAAAAAAAATCTAGCAGCTTGTCCATTCCTAACATTTGAACCAGCAGCATCAGCTTGGCCTGAACGCTGGTTAATGTGATAGCTGGGCTCATCCCCACAGCTGGTGTGGCTGGGCCAGGCGGCACCCCAGGCTGCCCTACCAACAAATTCCAGACCACACTGAGCCAACTGCGTGAGAATGCATACTGAGAACCATAAGTATGTGTCTCCTTTTCCTTCCCCCTGACTTAGAGAAACTGAGGCTTCACCCTTTGACATGACCCCTTGTGCTGAGCCCAGCTCTCCTTCACTCTTCACTGGTAAGACAGTTCTGTGTACCCAGGTCTATTTTTAAAACAGTTCTTAAATGTTCTGTCTAGAAGCTAGTAGCCTCTGTTCTTTGATTTTAAAAAAAAATCAGCTAACTTTTTTCTTCTAAGTCAAATTGCATTATTTTTTTCCTGAGTTGCCACCATAGGTACATTTCTGCACAAGATTTTTCTCTATGTCCTTAAGATAAAAGGGGACTGCCAGATTCTAGCTGCTACCTGGAATTTTCCTGATTTCTTCATCACACTTAGTTAGTTAAACAAAAGTTTGCTCTGCTCTTTGGAAAGCTGACACTGTGCAAAGCTGATGAGTGGTTAAAATAAGAGGCAAGAGTGGCCCCCTCCTCCTCTCTCCATGGTACTGTTCTCTGTGGATGATTAGCACAGCTAAAGATGGGAAAGCTGATCTTTAAAAAGACCTGCACACAGTCATGGTACTGTAACCTGCCAGGTCCTCAGCTGCAGCCCATGCCTCAGGGACCCCTGCATATCAAAACTGCCTGTCTTGTCATTCTCAATTCAGCCACCAGAAGAATACTGTCCTCCAAGAATATATGCTTCATCTGCAGGGCCATAAATCAATTGGTAAGCCAAACTCTGCTGGTGACTAAATTGCACTGCTCATGTTGGGGGATGAAGCTTGACACAGAGCAAGATTTTTGCTTTCCAAGAAGACAAAATGTTCTTCAAGACAGCTTCAAAGGATGGTAAAGGCTTGGTTCCTTCATCCCTTGCCGCATGTCCAGTGCTGAAGGCACTTAAGCCACTGAGGGTGTGAAGATGCTGTGGGCATCTGAGACCAAGTGGGGTAAGGCTGAATTCCACTTCCCCCACTCTCATCCTTTTGATGACAGGAGGAGAAAGACTCAGGCCAGGACCACTCCCAACGTCCTTGTTTAGAAATTAAAGAAGGAAGCATTGGGGATGTAGCTCAGTGGTGCTGTGCCTGTCTAACATACAGGAGGCTCTGGGTTCAATCAACAGCATTGGGAAAATGAAGAGGGATTGTCTTTCTGTGAAAAGTGCAGTATCTATCTGTAATTCATTAGCAGTTTTTACTTTATTAATATTTTTGCCTTCACATGCCCCCTTCCTTTTAAACTAAGTCCTATCCACTTCTGAAGCATGGGCCACACCAAATTGCAGCTGGCAGGGGTGTGTGTACTTTCTCCTCTCCATGACAAGACTTGTGAAAACAAGGAGAAGCAAAGTTGGGAGTGTTGGGCTGAGGATAGCTCCTGGATCAGCCAATGCAGCAGGGGCAGCCAAGTCTAGATCATGTTCCTTTACTTTCCAGCTTCCCAGAAAACCATTCACGGGCAGATCAACCCATAGTCTCTTTCAAGAGTGGGGACTGCATTCCAATGAAGAGTGGGCTGGGGCCATGAGGGGCACCACCCACCAGGGAGAGTACCCATATACAGTTCAGGAAACACATTGGACAAGGAAGAGTGAGGGTTCTTCACACCTGTCCTCCTCTTTCCCAGCAGACTTGACTTTGCAGCGGACCAAATAAACATGAGCAGAGGTGACAAAGTAAGGCATCCAAACACAACCTGAGTCTTCCTGCCCTGGGAGTCCTGTCGCCAGTGTGTTCAAGATGCTGTGGTTGTGGTTGTTGTGAGTCAGTGGTGCCCCCGTGAGCCTGAAGCCTAGCACTGAGGGTTGAGGGCTGCTGGTGTAAATGGGAAGTCAGCAAGGAAATCAATTTTTCTTGTGTTGAGTCACCAGAATTCTTAGTTCTTCTGACTGAAAATGTTCTGATCCATCTCATTCCTTTCCTCTCTTTCAGCTGCCCTTCCCCCACTCACATGCTTCAGAATGTTTGTGAATTCCCAGGTGTCCCCTAGGTGACCATAGAATGGGACTCAGTTCCCTCTTCAGGTACTTATTCATAGATCCGTGTTGGAAATCAGGCAGGCCCTGAACAGACTCCATCTGCTGGAGTCCATAGGCAAATCCTGTTTCCTGCCACTGAAGGTGTGACAGGGTGAAGACCTCCCATGGATTGCTGCAGGGCTGCTGCCCAAAATCCACCTGGGTTTTTTCATCCATTCCCACGAACCTGTGACAGGAACTGCCTGTGTCCCCTGACCCTGCTTCTGCCTGCTAGAGAGCCAAACCACACCATGGCCCACCTCAAGTGACATGTGGCCAAGGGCTTAGCTGTGTCTGGAAGCTTGCAAGTGGAGGATCCCAGGATGCCTTGGGGTGACCTTTCCAACCTTGTTGCTCTTCCCATAGTTTCCAGCTGAGTGCAGAAACCCGGGGAGAACTCCAAGTTCTTTTCATCTTATCTCAGTATCTGTGTTTGCTTGACACATAAGTCAATCAATATGAATGAATCAAATGTGATTCTGTATGGCATCAGCCAAGCAACAAAAAAGGAGAAGGCGCCCTCCACGTGTAAGAAATGAGATAGAACTGTGCTCAGTTGGGAAGGCTCAGGGTTGGGGTCACAATGACATGAGAACTACCCACCCAAAGATGACTGGAGGGCCCACAGTAACCTGCAGAGTACCATGCCTGCACACCTTGCTGGCTCTAGCATAGGAAGCCTGCTTCTTCTAACCCTATAATTCTTGGCTCTCTCTCTGGTTTTTTATCTCTGCCCTTTCTGGCCTAACTACCTCTCTTCAGGTGTCAGCTAACAAGTAAGGGTTGTACCATGTCCCTGCGTGTCCCACACTGGCTACTCTTGCTTTTGGAACCAGAGAAAATGAGACAGGGAGTTGGCCCAGATCAAAAGTCAACACCAGGTAGTATGTTTGGTAGAGTGTCTTTTGGTTGTCAGGAACTGGCCAGTCAGTTTGGAGCATGAAGATGGATCAAACACTTTGCAGGCTGTG